GCGGGGGGCGCGCGGTGAGGGAAGAGACTGGACAAAAATCGTGTACCTATGGATGAGGACAGTGGGTGGGGAGTGAGGGAGGAGAGTGGGTTGGGAACTGGGTGGAGGGGAGTTATGGGGGAAAAAAAGAGGAACAAATGTAATAATCTGAACAATAAAAATTTAATTTAAAAAAATTAATAAAAGTGTTTTAAAGTATAGAAATCCCATATATATATATATTATGGTTAAAAAAAAATGAGTATAGAAACCACAAACTAAAACCAATAATACTTTCCCAACTCCACTGGTCCTATTCCCAGAGGGTATAAATACTAAGAGACTTGTTTTTAAAGATAGGGTTTTAAGTGGAAGTTTTAAGAAAAAAATTGCAGTTGCTTGGAAAATACTCCTAAGCAAACATTTCACAGTTGTTTTTACTTTTTCTTAGGTTTCTGCTCCGAATGAATTTGATATTATGTTTAAACTGGACATCCCCAGAATTCAGCTAGAAGAATATCGCGACAGTGGTGCTCATTACTTTGTGAGGTTCAAAAGAAACCCCCAAGGAAATCCTCTGAATGAGTTTTTAGAAGGGGAAAGATTATCAGCTTCTAAGATGCTGTCCAAGTTTAGGGAACTCATTAAGAAAGAAATTAAAAACATTAAAGGTAAGATTTTTGAGTTTTAACCCTTAAAGTTCTAATCATACCTACTAATTGCCCGTGTATATTCCTCTCCTGGTCTTTCCTGACCTTCTACAACTCTTTGCACTTGATGTTATTCTACTACATTTTCTTGGTATTCTTTTTTTTTGGTATTCTTTTAAAATGTTGATTGGCTCTATTTTGGTCTCCATTGAATATTCACTGAACTGCTGCCTGTGCCACTGGGCATATGTGGTTGAATAAAATAATGGAATCCCCTCTTGAAGCTTGGATCTTGGAAACACAAATTGTAATGAATACTCTGACGGGAATGAACTAGGAGAAGGGGTAGCAATTGAAGTGGTGGAGCAAGGTTCTGAGGCAGAAAAGAGCTTGGCAAGCTGAAGGAACTATAAGAGGCCCATGTGAACAAGGAAAGGAAAGAGGAACAGGAAGTGTAGTTTAAGAGGTGACCACAGACCAAATTCTTCAAGGACTTGGAAAAGTTCAGATTTTATTTTATGGTCATTGAGAAGCCAGGTTTTAATTACAAAATAGTGATTCCGTTTGTATTTTTAAAAAATATGTTTTTATTGATTTTTTGAGAGAGAGGAAGGGAGAAGGATAGAGAGATAGAAACATCCATGGGAGAGAAACATCATCCATTGGCTACCTCCTGCACATGTCCCGATCGGGACTCAAATCCGTGACCCCTTGGTTCCTGGGTCGATCTCTATTGCTAAGCCACACTGGCTGGAATAGCTTTATATTTTTAAATGTTTACTCTGGATTCTTTGGAGAAGATATTATAAGAAAGCAAGTAAGAAGATTAGAAAGGAAAATATTTTAATAGTTCAAATGAAAAGATGGGGGTGAAGTGGGGTGCCAGGATGGAGAGAAGCAGACATACCCAAGCTGTAGCAGTGCTTGCTTCTGGATTACAGTAAGTATAGGGGTGAGAGAGAGGATGGAATTGAAGAAGGCTCCCAGGTTTCTGGATTGAGCACCTGTGTAGATTGTGCCATTTACTAAGATTGGAAGGACAGAAGAGGAACACTTTGGGGAATGAATGAAGAGTTCGGCTTTGGATATCTTAAAGTTAGATATCCCTGTGATATGTTAAACTGAATGTGCCAAGTACATAGTTGGATATGGGTTTGGAGTTCAGAGGACACATTTGGCTACATGTCAACATATAAGCGGTCCCTTTGACAGAGAGTGCAGAGGAACTTATTCATTAATTTAATCAATATTCATTGATTATCTAATGTGACAGATGGTCTAGATGTTTGGGATACGTTAATGAACAAATAGATGAAGACCCTCACCCTTCTGTACCTTATAATTACAGAGCAGATATACAATTAATGACAAATAGAAAATATAATTATCTTGTATATTAGAAAGTAGTAAGTTCTATGGGGGAAAGGCTAGCAAAGTGAGAGGGATCTGGGGTCTTAGGAATAGGAGGGGGAAATTATAATGTTAAGTAGAGTGGTAATAAGAGGATCCCATTAGAAGTTGGGGAGAAGAAAAGGAATTAAAGGGGACTGAGTGGTTTCACGGGAGCAGTGGTCAGTGTTTACAATGCTGCTGACATCCAAAAACCATTTGATTTGGTCCGTGGTTTAGTGGGGATTGTTGTTAACTTTGACTTAGCAGTTTTAGAGAGATTATGAACACACAAGAAAAAAGGGGCAGGGATGCAGTAGAGACAGCGTGTGTAGGCCACTCTGGAAAATTTTGGTTGCAAAGGAAGAAGAAATATGGGTAAGTATGGGGAGGAAACTGATTTAGGGCCAAAGGAGAGGTATATTTTAGAATGAAGGACACTGGAACCCTTTGTATGTGGAGAGGAATGATCCAGCAGGGAGGGGGAGTCCAGTGATGCAAGAGAGGGAACAATTGAAAGAGGTCTTGAGCAAGTGAGAATCCAGAGGCAGGTCCAGGGATGGCCTTGGAAAGGTGAATGGACATTTCCTCAGTGGTAATAAGAGGAAGAAGGATAAAATGGGTAAGAGTGGGGGAGGTTTGCAGATTTGATGATAAGAAAATGAGAGTGTTCTCTAGAATTTTCTCCTTGGCATTCGTTCTCACTGTGGTCCCTTCCAGAAGTCTTATCTGGGAATAGTCTTTACTGCTTATACACCCCTAAACCCCAAAGCCAGTATCTCTCATCTGGAAATCTTTCCTGAATTTCTGACCACCATAGCTACTTGCTCAGTGGCTATCTCCACGTGGGTGTCCCATAGGCACATAGAGCTCAGTGTGTCTATAATGAAGTTCATTTCAGCTCAACCCTTCTTCCTCCTGCTTACTCTATATCAGCAGTCGCCAACCTTTCGGACCCCACGGACCACCAGTGGTCCTTAGACCACCGGTTGGTGACTGCTGCTCTCTGTAGAAGAATGGAATCAACATTAATCAATTCCTAGGCTAAATTTCTGGATGGCATCCCAGAACTTGTACCTTCTTCCTTATCTTGCAGTTTCAGTCCATCTACCAGTTCTCTGGTTTTTAACCTCTTTAATTGCTCTCGCTTCTGCTACCTGTGTCTTTAAAAAAATAAAAATTGTATATATTTAAGATGCTTTGATACACATATACATAGTAAAATGACTTCCACAGTCAAGATAATTAACATATCTCACATAGTTACCTATTTTGTGTGTATGGTTAGAGTACCTGAAATCTATTCTCTTAGCATAATACTTAATATTGTACTGTTTCTAGTCGTCAGTGTGGTAGTATTAATGACAGTCATCATGCTGTACACTAGATGTCTAGACTCACTCTACCGAACTGCAACTTTGTTCCCTGTGACCAATATCTCCCATTTCCCTCACCTCCTCACCTCTGGTAACCACCATTCTACTCTCTTCTTCTGCTGTCTTTTGCTTTTTTAGATTTCACATAGAAGTGAGGTCATGCAGCATTTGCTTTCCTGTATTTGGTTTATTTTCTCCAGGTTCACACATGTTGTCACAAATGACAGGATTTCTCTCTTTGTTAAGATTGAATAATATTCCATTCATATCCAGGCATACCTCATCTTATTGCACTTCAGTTCTTTTCACTTCACAGATAATGTGTTTTTTACGAATTGAAGGTTTGTGGCAGCCCTGTGTTGAGTGAGTCTGTTGGTGCAATTTTTCCGACATGCTCAGATGAGGCTTTAGCATTTTTTAGCAATAAAATATTTTTAATTAAGGTATTTACATTGTTTTTTAGACATAATGCAGGAGCACATTTAATAGACTACAATATAATGTAAACATAACTTTTATATGCACTGGGAAACCAAGCAATTTATGTGACCTGTTTTATTGCAATATTCACTTTATTATTGCAGTGGTCTGGGACTGAAGCCACAATATCTCCAACGTGTGCCTGTACATACGACAATTTCTTTTTAAAGTATATTTTTATTGATTTCAGAGAGAAAGGAAGAGGGAGAGAGAGAGATAGAAATGAGAGAGAATCATTGATCGGCTGCCTCCTTCACACTCCACACTGGGGATCGAGCCCACAATTCGGGCATGTGCCCTTGACCAGAATTGAACCCAGAACCCTCAGTCCACAGGCTGACACTCTATCCACTAAACCAAACCAGCTAGGGCCATACCATAATTTTTTTTTTATCCACTCATCTGTCAATGGACTCTGAGATTGTTTTATATATTGGCTATCGTAACACTGCAGTGGACATGGATTGCTTCTGCTGCTCATCTGCCCTCTTTTCCAGGCTTCTCTCCAAACTACTATTCATCAATTTAAATGAAAATCTAACCAAAGCACTCCCAAACCCCAATTTTCAGGGGCTCCTCATCATCATGCTAGACAGATTTTGACAGTACGTTCCCGCCATAATACATTATCAATGAATATTGGCTAAACGAGTAAAACATTTTGTGTTGTGGGGTCAGTTTCTGCTTTAGAACTAATTTTCACCTTAATACTCTCTAGATATCCAACTATAGTTATGCTATTTTTCCTATATTTTCAAGAAAATTAGATTGCTAAACTCTTTTTTTCCCTTTTACATGTTTAAACAGATACAGATATCAGTGTGGAGAAGAAAAAGAGAGGATGTCCTGCTGTAACACTTCTTATTAAGGCACCTAAAGAAATATCTGTGGATATAATCTTGGCTTTGAAAGTACAAAGCAGCTGGCCACTTAGCACCCAGGAAGGCATGCCCATTGAGAATTGGCTTGGAAGAAAAGTAAAGAAAAGCCTGAGACTACAGCCATTTTACCTGGTACCTAAGCCTGCAAGGGAAGGAAATGGTTTTCAAGGTATCTTAAATGTGAAGGTTAATTTAAGAACATCTTAAAGAGTTGTTAATGTTATATACAAGGGTAGTAAAAGTTCGACGACTGCTGTTGGCATTTCAAGAGTCATCAGGCTCAATAGGCTACCAGTACAAGATGGGAGTTTGATGAGTGATGGAATTGAAAACGGCATAGTTGTAGTAGTAACATCAAATACTCAGCTTTAAAATGTCTAGTAGCTCACATTTGAATGTTACCTTTTTTATTTAAAAAACCAGAGGCCAGCCCTAGCTGGTTTGACTCAGTGGATAGAGTGCTGGTCTGTGGACTGAAGGGTCCCAGGTTCGATTCTGGTCAAGGGCATGTACCTTGGTTTCGGGCACATCCCCAGTGGGGGATGTGCAGGAGGCAGCTAATTGATGTTTCTCTCTCATCAATGTTTCTAACTCTCTATCCCTCTCCCTACCTCTCTGTAAAAAATCAATAAAATATATTTTTTAAAAAAGAATTAAACAAAAAACCTAGAGGCCCGGTGCATGAAATCGTGCATGGGTAGGGTCCCTAGGCCTGGTCGATGATCAAAGCCATTCGGGGCCTTCCTTTCCCCAGTTGCCGGCTGCTGGCCATGACCTTCTTTTGTTCTGCACCGCCCCCTGATGGTCAGTGAACATCATGTCATAGTGGGCGGTTGAACTCCCAGTCGGTCAAACTCCCAAGGGGACAATTAGCATGTTTAGACTTTTATTATATAGGATATTTTTATTGATTTTAGAGAGTAAGGGAGAGGGAGAGAGATATAGAAACATCAGTGATGAGAGAGAATCATTGATTGGCTGCCTCCTGCACACCCCCTTCTGGGGATCAAGCCTGCAACCCGGGCATGTGCCCTGACCAGGGGTAGAACTGTGACCTCCTGGTTCATAGGTCGATGCTCAACCACTGAGCCACGATAGACAGGTTTGTTGTTAATAAAGAAAGGCAGTACTGGCTTCAGAGTCAAACTGCTCTCTGGTTCTGGACCCTAAGGCTTCTACTCATAACTAACTGAGATTTTGGACTAGTTACGAAGCCTCTCTAAATAATACTTTATTCACATTTCCTTAATTTTTACCCATGTCCTTTTCCTGTTTCAGGATCTCATCTAGGACACCACATTACATTTAGTTATCACGTCTCCTTAGGCTCCTCT